GAGCCACCGCCCCTGGCATTTTGTTTTTATTTTGTAGACATGGGGTTTTGCCACATGGCCCAGGCTGGTATTGAACTCCCAGCCTCAAGTGATCCTCCTGTCTCAGTCTCCTAAAGTGCTGGGCTTACAAGCATGAGCCACCGTGTCCAGCCATAGTTTTCTTTATTAACTGAGCACCTACTGCTTCCTGCACTCAAGCTGCATCCAGGGACAACCTCCAACACCTGAGCCTTGGTAGCTGCTCCCACTCTGTAGATGGGGAAACTGAGGCTCGGGTTGGGGAACAGATTGAAAGGTGGGTGTCCTGCTCTGCAGGATCCCAGAACCACAGTGGAGTCTGAGATGGGGAAACTGAGGCTCGGGTTGGGGAGCAGATTGAAGGGTGGGTGTCCTGCTCTGCAGGATCCCAGAACCACAGTGAAGTCTGAGATGGGGAAACTGAGGCTCGGAACAGGGAAGGTCATCAACACTGCCCCATGTGATGTGCTGGTGATCTGTCCCTGCCCCTCGCTCCCTACCACAGCTCAATGGATCGGCCACCATCAACGCCAACGTCCAGGTGGCCCGGCTGCCAGCCCAGAACCAAGGCGCGGAGAATGGGGCACGGTGCCTGGCCATGGGCTGGGGCCAGCGGGGCACCCACAGTCCCGTTGCCAACGTCCTGCAGGAGCTCAACGTGACGGTGGTGACGTCTGGCTGTCGCCGCAGCAATGTCTGCACGCTCGTGAGGCGCCGGCGGGCCGGCATCTGCTTCGTAGGTGCCTGGGTGTCCCTCTGCTCCCCACGCACCCCCCACTCCTGGCCCTGGCCCAGACCGCAGCCACAGGCACCGAAGCCAGACCCTAGGAGGGATCACAGGGTCCCTCCCCAACCCTGACGGGAGGGCCGGCATCTGCTTTGTACATTCCCTGGTGTCCCTCTACTCCCCGCCCATTCCTGGCACCAGACTCTAGGCTTCCCAACCCCGACAGGCAGCGGGTGGGCGGGCAGGAAGCCTGGCGGTCCAGCCCCCCCACCTTGTCTGCCTCCACAGGGGGACTCCGGCGGCCCCTTGGTCTGCGACGGGCTAATCCAGGGAATCGACTCCTTCATCCGGGGAGGCTGTGGCTCCGGGTTCTACCCCGACTTCTTTGCCCCGGTGGCTCAGTTCGCAGACTGGATCAACTCCATCATCCGACGCTCCGAGGACCACCCCCGCCCCCGCCCCCAGGACCCGGCCGGCAGGACCCAGTGAGAAGCTCGGCCCGGGTCAGCTCAGCTGGACACAGCTGTCCTCTCCAGCAGCTGGGACAATAAACATCCGTCTGTTTTGTAAACTGTGTCTGAGATTTCTCGGCTGTGTGACTGGGTGTGGGAAATGGTCAGCAGGCCGGACGCGGTGGCTCACGCCTGCAATCCCGGCACTTTGGAAGGTTCAGGCAGGCGGATCACTTGAGCTCAGAAGTTTAAGAGCAGCCTGGGCACTATAGCAAGACACTGCCTCTATTAAAATAAGTAAATACAATAAAATTTTATTTATTCTGAGCCAGTCCTGGTGGCTCACACCTGTAATCCCAGCACTTTGGGAGGCCGAGGCCGGCAGATCACCTGAGGTCAGGAGTTCGAGACCAGCCTGGCAACTGAAACCCCATCTCTACTATAAGTATTAAAAAATTAGCCAGGTTGGCCGGGCGCGGTGGCTCACGCCTGTAATACCAACACTTTGGGAGGCCGAGGCGGGTGGATCACGAGGTCAAGAGATCGAGACCATCCTGGTCAACATGGTGAAACCCCGTCTCTACTAAAAATACAAAAAATTAGCTGG